AGACACAGGGCACAGATCCTGATCCGGCTCTGGCCAGCAGCTGCTACCACACATGGAAGAACACAAGATTACAGGTGCTGACTCTTTCTCCTGAGGTTCGATCTCTCCTGGAGGAACTGCGGAAGAACTACAAACTACTTCTGATTACCAACGGCGATACTCAGACGCAGTGGGAGAAGATCGAAGCGGTGAGATGTAAGGGTCTCTTTAGTTTGGTGGTAGTCGGAGGAGATCATCCTGAGCAGAAACCGGCGCGCTCCATCTTCACTCACTGCTTCGAGTCTGCGGGAGTCCGGCCGCAGGACTGCATCATGGTGGGAGATTCTCTCAGTGCAGACATCCAGGGAGGCGTTAATGCAGGGGTACGGGCCACTGTGTGGATAAACAGTGACTGTAAATCTCTCCCGCAGGGCTCTGTGACTCCAGACTACACTGTACCTAGTGTACTAAATCTGAATGATATTCTACTTGAACTGAGATGATGTCTACATATGTGAACCTAAAGATGCATGTTTTTTTTGTTTTTTTAAAGAAAATTTGTCAGAAAAATGTGATGAAGACTTATATCAGCAGTTTAGAAAAACTGTTTTAATCTATAAAAGTGTGGTCCTCTCTTAAAGTGACCATAATGTTGCGGTCACATGACCTGGCAAATAATACTTTCTTGTAATCACCAGATGACAATCCGGATACTCTACTTGAAGCTGTTCATGTCCTAATTATTCTTTTTGTGGCAATAATATTAACTCCAAAATAAACCTGTGTAATTTGTGTAATCAGTAGACATAACCACAATCCATCAAGTAACGGTCATTATGCAAATGCTTTATTAATACAGTTTTAACGTTCGTTTAGCATATTTAACAGGACATAAGGCATCAGCTATCCAACTCTCTTCAAGCTACATTAAACTGAAATGTATGTCTTATTTTCAGATTATAATTGCATTATTAAGATGTTAAAAATACTAAATTATTGGAATTATTAACCAGAAATATTAATATTTGCCAATACCTGAAAAATAATTTAAATTGTGGAATAAATTAATCATGGGTGGGTGACGTATGTCTTTGGGTATTTACATGATTGGTAAAAAAAATTAATTAATCCAATCAATTTTCGATAATCCGTTTCACTCAGATGTACGTCACAATAAGAAAGAAAAGATCTGTTGCTACTTCCATTATATCATAGCTTTAAAAAAAGTAAAAAAGGCCATTGAAATGAAGTGCTGAATCTTCAGAATGTCAAAAAAGTAAAGATTATATATCTTTTTTATTATTGTTTTATTTTACTTTTTTTTTTTTAGGTTTTGCAACCCTAGTATTAAATGTATATTCTAGCGATCAACATTGAATTAACCTAAATAAAGTATAAATCAGAAATATAACATTTATAATTTGTAACAAGTTTGTAAATTTGTCCTAAGATAAAGTACAACTATCTAGCTTTCATGCTATGTAAATGTTACATAATTGCTTATATAACATATCTAATATTTCTTACAAAATCCTGGTATCTAAAGTTTTAGATAAGTACTGCAAAATTACCAAAATTACTGGAAAGTGTCTTGATGGGTTCATGTCTGAGAGAGAAAATGTGATTGTCTGTTTGATTGTAGGTTGTTTACAAGTTAGATGCATTTTGTAATGGTAATGGTGGTGTGGCTTTTCTTTTGTTGAAGCATCCCGACAACCTTCAAGATCCTGAGTGAGATTCCCTTCTAAAATAAGCATCAATAAATCAATGAGGCACCAAACATGCTTCTTTTTCCATCTCTTTCAGTAATGAAAAAACTCATTTGATTCAAAGAGGCAACCAGAGTCAGAGATTCCAATGACTTTATGAACCAAACAGAGAAGAGAGGCAGGTGAGAATTGCATTTTAAGGTTTAATTTAATGTAATTTTTTCTAATGCCATAGGCTTCTTGGGGTAATAGCAACCTCATGCAACATTTGGTGAAGAAATAGTTCACCCAGAAATACTTATTCTGCAATTATTCACTCACCCTCATGTTGTTCCAACCTACCTTTGAGCATCCTTTTGATAAATACTGCTCTCATGCTGTTTACTCAGTGTAATGTGATTACAATGGCACTGAAAAAAAAGAACTGTTAAAAATGTTTTTGGTAATTGAAATAAAGCTGAAATAAAATAAAATGAAAATATTTGATAAATCTCTATTTAAAAACTAAAATTATAGTTAGGCCTATAATTCAATCTAAATAGAAGTATCAAAAACTACAAAAATAATAAACTGGAACTACAGATTATCAAACCAGTATTGTTACCTAAAATAAATAAAAAAATGTTTTTTGGTATAAAGCTGAAATAAATCTAAATATTTTATGTAAATGAAAATTATAAATGATACTGAGTTTAATAACTAAAATGTCAAAGTAAAACAAATACAACTGAAAGCTAAATAGAAATATAATAAAAATGACAAAAGCACATAACAAATTGACTAAAACCTAAAGTAAAATGAAAATATAAAAATAAAATCGAACACTGGTTCGAACTGACTGAACTTATTAAACCATAGTTTTAATTCACTAATTTTATATCGTATTTGTAAGGCATTAACTGATGCTGGATTTGTTTGACTATAATGTAAATAAATAAAAGTGCTAAATAAATCTATTGTATCTATCCTATTCTGAATAATCGGCTTAATAATCGATCAATCGCTGTTAATAATCGAATCGAATAAATTGCCACATGTCCACTACACAAACGCGCACGCAACCATGGTTTTAAACACGTAATGCGGACTCATCTTCAAGATTGTTGGAGCATTTCGTTGTAAGTAAAGATCATGAGCACTAAAAAATATAATCGTATAATGAAGTACAAAAGTGATGCCGCGTTTCTTTGTCTGTTCTGAGCGCTGTGAGTGAGTCGTCGGTGAGCGCTCTCAGTGTGTCTGCAAGCGTTTCTGCTCGCGTTCAGATGAGTAGGAGGAGAAATAGTCCCGTGAACTTGACTTGAGGAGCTCTGTTTGTGTGGCACCAGTGTCACGGCACTCATGGCACTCATGGCCCAGGAGAAGCGGCGCAGCACCCGACTAGCTTTCATGCGTTACTAAAAAAAATCATTTATTTATTTGGTTCCGAAGATGAGTAGGCTAATGAAGATAAAAGCAGTCTAACTATTCGTGTCCTGGGACCCATTCATGAAACTTTAGAAAATATAATCGTAAATTCGGAGCGAATTGCACGTAGACTCATGCAAAATAACCACCCAGAAAACTCATTTTGCGGTAATAACGCTAACGATTAATCGATCAGTTGAAAAAGTTAGTAGCTGGTATTTCGAATAATTTCCCTTCCCTACACCTTAATTCATATTAATTTGAACTAATAAAATATGGATGGTTATCAAGTTCTTCTAATTGGGCAATCATTCAACGGCTTTTATAACTAATCGTGTGAAGAGTAGGTTTATGGAGATTTCTTTCTAGTGTCACTGTGTGCGCTGTGGTCGTTTTGTTGTATTGTAGCTACTGTATATCTATGACAGGAGAATTAAAAAAAATTATAATTGTGATGTTCAGTCCTTGAACGTGTTAATTTCTCCAGTGATATGGACGGAACATTGTACCAAAATACAACAGTGTTTCTTGTGGTTCTACATAGTGACACTGCAGTCTGTATTTAAACTAGTGAGTGCAGTGACTAGTGAGAAAGACTGGTTGCCACAAATGCATAACACATCTTTATAATGCATTGTGATTATATGCATGCAACAACAAATGTACTGAGCAAAAGTCTGACTTATTAACACGACTGTTTAGAGTATGATAAAGTTTTAATTTCCAGAATTTAAGGCCTTAGAACAGAAAGTCTTAAATTTATAATCATGGTATTAAATATTGCAATCACTGCAAAAAAATGAATATCTTCAGTTTTTTTTAGTACATATATCTAAACTTCTTTAAAACAAGAGAAATTAACCGAGATACAAAATGACACAAGTCTTGTTTTCTGAGAAACTGAACAACATGGAGTTAATGCTTAAAACCAAGACCAAATATCTGCCAATGAAGCATGAAAACCTTATTTTTGTTCCAATCAAAATAAATTAAAAGTAATGGACATCTATTCAAAGTTGAATTTGCAAACTTTGAAGTGTTGCTATTACAACCCTTTGAAGAACATTGTTCCCTTCAAATTATTCCTTAAATTTTCTTTTATTGGTCTTATATGTCCTAATTTTATCTCCATAAAACCCTGTTTATCTTTTAAAATAAATTGGTCAAAAAATACTCAGAATCAGCTGTGTACGTAAAGCTTGAAAGACTTGATCAGTGTAATTATTTATTAGTACTAAAGAGAAACATTCTGTACAGTTTTGTAAAACAGATAAATGTTACTAAATAGTATTTTTAGTAATTATGAAAAATTGATGGGGTGGAGGGTGCTTCCTCAAAAGTACAAAACAAATTAGAATAGTTTAATTTTATGACTCACAGACTAAGTATGTTTTTCATATTTAAAGGATTTGCCACTGATGATTCAAACGCGAGTTTTGAGCAGTGTAGAGTAGCGCTTGTTGTTTGTTATTTCTCCGATCACAAATGCAGACATGGTTTTATGTTTGCGCGGCGCGATGCAATGCAACGCAATGCGTAAAAAGACAGTATAAGTCATTATTATCCGTAATTATGTCCCCACTGGATGCAACAAATGCCTAGTTTGTAATGGGTTTTAATGTGTTTGTCTCGTCGCTCCGGGACACGGCATCACAGTATGGTAAGGGGCGTAACATTTCTGTCACACGCTTGAGGTATTCGGCCAATCACAACGCACTGGATAGCTGGCCAATCAGAGAACACCTCGCTTTTCAGAACGATGAGCTTTGTAAAAATCGACACGTTTCAGAAAGGCGGGGCATAGAGGAGAAACAATAATGTACAGTGTGTGGAAAATAATGTTTTTTTTAACCTTAAACACATTTCATTACACCAAATACACAAAATAATGTTCTTTTTAGCAACATCATATGACCCCTTTAATAAATATTATAGTAATACAAAAATTATTAGAGTAAAATTGATAAATGTGATGACTAAATTGAAAGGTTATTTTTATTGTCAAAACATGACAAAAATTATGACAAAAAAAAATAAATAAATAAAGTGATGTCTTGTAGAAGTTCACATAACTCTGGCCGGTATTTAGATTGATGTAGCTGTAGTAAGGGTCTCCATACTTCAGCACGGAGCCGATAAACGGCAATCCGTCTGCATCCAGTCTGTCCATTACTTTGGGGTCACCTGGCTTCACCCCAAACACAATGCTGTCATCACCTTTGACCTTCTCAGACAGATCTATGAGCTCAGTCTTATAAACCGAACCATGAGCAAAGCCACGTTCCCATGAAGACTTATTGACGATCTGGAGAAAGTTAAAAACACAAAATATTAACAAATGCAAAAGAATGGTTTGGAAAATGCCTAATGGGAAGTTACGCTTACCATAGCATCTTCCATATCATAGCCAATGTAAAAAATGACAGCCACTATCGCATTGGTGCCAATAGGGTAATTATCCATGTCGTAGTGGTCGTACATCGCAGGTCTGACCAGAGGACTCTGAGGGGTCTGCAGATGGTACAGTTTATTGTCAGATCGGTCCTGGTACGAATGCAGCGGGAAGCCCATTGTCTGTTTACCTACAACAGGACGATGCCTTCTAAGTTGCAGCTCATAGTTGATATTTGCAGACAAAATGTATGTTCCATCAACGGAAGTGAGGTTCTTACTCATCTGGCACTGGTACAGGTTTTAAGGACTCTGATTGTGATCAGAGAAAGGGATGAATTCTGCCACCACACTCAGCATGCTGTGAGGAAACAGCTCTTGATGTGTGGTCACTCCCTGCTCTAGCTCTTCCTCGAAGATGCCCACGTTCAAATACACCTGAACACAAATAAACAGTTAAAGAGTTAAAAAACTTGTAATGAAAACAGAATGCAAGACTGCGTAATTAAAGGCTTTAACGAGAGAAGAAAACTATAATCCCATGAAGCACTGTAAATGATTAAAAACGACAAATATAAAAATATTAGTGCTGTCAATCTATTAAAAAAAAAAAAACGAATCGCAATTTTTTTTTCTGAAATTAATCAAGATTAATCCCACCTAACATAAAAGTTTTTAAATATAGTTTTATATTGCAATAAACCGACATTTATTGTTTGAATACTGCAATACAATGAACAGAATTTGAAATCTGAGACTTTGTTTCATATTAAACAAGCAAAGTGCCAAAGCACAATGCTTATTGCGATATATTGGATGGGAGGGGATATGTGTATATATATATATATATATATATATTTCTTGCCCCCCCGACTCAAGAGTCAAATGTCGCCCATGACAATAGTATATAAATAATACTAAAATACACTGGTAAAATCAGGATAATGTACAGTCAGCTGGTCATTATTACAAAATAAACAACTTCAGGAAGTCTCAAGCAGCTTATAAGAGAAAACAACTTCCTTTTACCTTCAGTGCAAAGCCCAAGGGAAGAAAGAACAGCTCCTTCCTGTAAATGAAATTCACCATCACCGTTCCATTGTCCAGGTAGTGAAGATTCATATTAATGGCTGTGTGTTCATCCCTTACACAGCACATCGAAATACCTGCACACGGTTAATACCCAAGTCAATATGTATATTTAATCAATTATATTGGTTTATTCAATCTGGAAGAGATGCAGTACTCACTGCACTGAGTGTAGCCCTGTCCTCTGCTCTTAAACTTTGGTCTTGATACTGCAATGGGATAGTTCCTCCTCTGCATGATCAGAAGACGAATCACCTTCTCTATGCCGTTAACGATAAAATAGCCGCCCATTTCCTACCAGTACTTCAAGACTAAGTGTCATTTTGTCCAAGATTGTGGCGTATGTGGCGTGATGTGCAATTTTTTTTTTTTTACCTCCGCTTCTTCGTGATGCTCGATGAGTTCTTTGGCTGAGAGACCATAAAGGTTGCAGAGTTTTGATTTGACCATGATGGGCACATGACCTAGAGACCGTTTAATGATTCCTTTGGGAACGCCATTAACAGACCAACTCACATCTCCCTGTGAAAACACAACATTGATTTGTTCTTTAAAAAATACTGATGGTTTATCATCTGGTTTTGCTTTAGGAACCAGACTGGATATCAAGAAGTGATTGAACACAATAAGAAAATTACATTACATTTTTTTAATTTTTTTTATTATGTTTAACAATTTTTTAAACCCATTAGTTACTATGATTTCTTAGTATGGTTTCAACATTTAATGGTTTGAACAATAGATTTATCACTGTGATATTACGGGAGTAAGAAGCTTGTAAAATACTAATTTTAAACATTAAATACGTTCCTATATAATCTCATATAAACACTCATCACATGCAATTATGAATGTGATATTAGCAAATATGAATTTAGCACATATTAGTGTACTTGTGTTTAGTACTTGTGCACGCACACACACACACACACACGGGTGTTTTATAATTATTATGTTTGTCATAATACTAGAAAGCAAGCAGTTATTCTGTCAATGTACATCAACAATTCACCATGTCTACTTATATTTAATTAACAGACTTACTACTAGCTTTCCTCTGTATATGTACAACACCTGCCTCTGCATTCAGCAGAGAAGACCCGCAGGTCATTGCTGATTCCTCCTTCAGAAACTGCTGACTGATTCGGTCTCCCTTGTACATGACCTCCATAGGAGGAATGGCCTGAAAACAGAGAGATTTTACTTGTTTACTTATTTGTTAGCCAGCATGTTATTGCATATAAATTCACTTGTTAAGTGTCCATACAGAATCTACATGTGTGTGTGTGTGTGTGTGTGTGTGTGTGTGTGTGCAGGTCATTGCTGATTCCTCCTTCAGAAACTGCTGACTGATTCGGTCTCCCTTGTACATGACCTCCATAGGAGGAATGGCCTGAAAACAGAGAGATTTTACTTATTTGTTAGCCAGCATGTTATTGCATATAAATTCACTTGTTAAGTGTCCATACAGAATCTACATGTGTGTGTGTGTGTGTGTACCTCACCTCCACACCCCGACATAATCCATCAGTAACAGCCTGATCAAATGACTCAATGTGCGCCTTCACCAGCTCCTGCACGGACACCAAACCCTGCCTCTGTCAAATGTTTTAACCTCGGTTCGGACTTCAGATCACACCACTTATTAAGATCCATGCTGCTGGGCACACGTGTGTGTGTTTGTCAACGTGATCTCGGAAGTAGCGCAAGACTTTCTGTTACACTACTTCAAAATAAAGTATTATTTTTATGAATGGTTTTGAACAGAGCTGTAGAGAGAGAGAGTTGTGACAAATGGACCATGTTTTTACAGCAATGGCGGATCATGGAGCCGCTCAATAGTTCCCGGATGTTAGCGCTCATACTATCAGCGCCGTAGAGATGCGGCAGAAGAGACCGCTGTGATGAACTTTTGAAAGGTATGACATTTATAGAACAAAATGGTATATTATCAGCACAGCTAATCAAATTACCCTGTGCATTAAAACAGATGATTATTAGATTATTCCTCACTTAAATAGTAGATTTACGGGATGCTATTCATTCTCTTCATGCAGTTTCATCCATCGTTGTGTAATTTAAAAGTGATTTTGCTGGTGGGGAGTTATTAAATAGACTTAGATATATTGCAAAGGATGCAGATGGACCAAAGTGAGAATGAAAAGTTTAATGTAGGTGAGCAGTTTTCATTTCAGAATCATGCTAGGCTAAATGTCCAAAAATGGATTATATACCACTACCAGTGTTGGGGGTAACGCATTACAAGTAACGCGAGTTACGTAATCAGATTACTTTTTTCAAGTAACTAGTAAAGTAACGCATTACTTTTTAATTTACAAGAGAATATCTGAGTTACTTTTTCAAATAAGTAACACAAGTTACTTTGTTTTGCAATTTATTGACTGACAGCTCTCCTGTCCCCATGCTGAGAGAAATCAGATGTTACTGTAGTTCTGAAATAAATATGAATATGCATTAATTCATCTCACTCACAAAAAAAAAACACAGATTCAGTATTCCTCAAAATGAATAAAAATAATGCAACTCAGAATATGACGCAAACCTGCAATAAGAGACCGTTTAATGATTCCTTTGGGAACGCCATTAACAAACCAACTCACATCTCCCTGTGAAAACACAACATTGATTTGTTCTTTAAAAAATACTGATGGTTTATCATCTGGTTTTGCTTTAGGAACCAGACTGGATATCAAGAAGTGATTGAACACAATAAGAAAATTACATTACATTTTTTTAAATTTTTTTTATTATGTTTAACAATTTTTTAAACCCATTAGTTACTATGATTTCTTAGTATGGTTTCAACATTTAATGGTTTGAACAATAGATTTATCACTGTGATATTACGGGAGTAAGAAGCTTGTAAAATACTAATTTTAAACATTAAATACGTTCCTATATAATCTCATATAAACACTCATCACATGCAATTATGAATGTGATATTAGCAAATATGAATTTAGCACATATTAGTGTACTTGTGTTTAGTACTTGTGCACGCACACACACACACACACACGGGTGTTTTATAATTATTATGTTTGTCATAATACTAGAAAGCAAGCAGTTATTCTGTCAATGTACATCAACAATTCACCATGTCTACTTATATTTAATTAACAGACTTACTACTAGCTTTCCTCTGTATATGTACAACACCTGCCTCTGCATTCAGCAGAGAAGACCCGCAGGTCATTGCTGATTCCTCCTTCAGAAACTGCTGACTGATTCGGTCTCCCTTGTACATGACCTCCATAGGAGGAATGGCCTGAAAACAGAGAGATTTTACTTGTTTACTTATTTGTTAGCCAGCATGTTATTGCATATAAATTCACTTGTTAAGTGTCCATACAGAATCTACATGTGTGTGTGTGTGTGTGTGTGTGTGTGTGTGTGTACCTCACCTCCACACCCCGACATAATCCATCAGTAACAGCCTGATCAAATGACTCAATGTGCGCCTTCACCAGCTCCTGCACGGACACCAAACCCTGCCTCTGTCAAATGTTTTAACCTCGGTTCGGACTTCAGATCACACCACTTATTAAGATCCATGCTGCTGGGCACACGTGTGTGTGTTTGTCAACGTGATCTCGGAAGTAGCGCAAGACTTTCTGTTACACTACTTCAAAATAAAGTATTATTTTTATGAATGGTTTTGAACAGAGCTGTAGTGAGAGAGAGTTGTGACAAATGGACCATGTTTTTACAGCAATGGCGGATCATGGAGCCACTCAATAGTTCCCGGATGTTAGCGCTCATACTATCAGCGCCGTAGACTTCGATGATCCAGTTCGACCATACTAATAAAGCACAAATTACTCTAGACCAACATTTGTGTGTCTTCGTTTATTGCTGAAGTGTGTTGAAATTTCTTCTTCTGCATTCTACTGTACGGACGTACATTTACTTTCCCTTCAGCCTGAGGCTTATTCATTTCACTTTTGGCGTGAAAGGCTTTTATATTTGCCAAAAATAGAACTTTGTTATTTTAAAAACAAACAAGCAAGCCCTGTCCAGATTTAAAAAGTAACGCAAAAGTAACGTAACGCATTACTTTCCATAAAAAGTAACTAAGTAACGTAATTAGTTACTTTTTTTATGGAGTAACGCAATATTGTAATGCATTACTTTTAAAAGTAACTTTCCCCAGCACTGACCACTACTATATTATGGAAGTAATTACAGTAAACCTGTACATTATTACTGTATTTTATACTTAAACGTCTTCGCTACTAAAGAAGCACTGTGTTGAAGGAGCAGATGCCACAGGACTGCAATGTGATAGAGCATCACTTAACACTTTTCCTCCTGTGTTTTTCTCCTTCGCTATGTTGCTTTCAGAACGAGAACCACCTGAAGACTCCCTGTAAAGAGACATCACCCTCCCAATGAGTCTCTTCACTGGTTTTGGCAAGTCTTTCCCTGCTCTTTGTGAAAAAGTGCCAGTTCCCTAGTATTACATCACATTTTGTTGGTGTGATCTATAGATTGCTCCTGCTGACTATATCCAGTCTCTTACGAAGACTTCAGATGATCCAACACCTGTGAAGAGATGACGCCAACCCTTGAGAGGACTTCAGATGAAGCTGACTCTGAATAATCAAAACTGCTACATTTTCCTTGCATTGTAATCAACATGATCACATCATGTAACCATTGCTTTCATTTGTTCATTGTTTCTGTATACATTTAACTGTTTCTGAATATATTTATAGTTTATTATAAATGTATAAATCGATTGCTGTAAATAAGTGCATAACAAAAGCCAACATACATAAAATATATGATTAAATGTGTAAAAATGTTGTTTTAAATTGGAATATACTACAAATATAGTGTTATGTATTAATAATTGAGGGGTGCACAAGAATCAAAAACACTGAACAAGATTAGTTTTCACTTAATAAAATATCTTCATTTATTTGGAACGGATTTTCGAAGACAACAAACTTAACATTTACCATGAGATTAGTAAAACGACAATGAACAGGTATATTTGTGATTGAATTTGACTAACAAGCAAGTTGTTTTTATCTTTTAAAAACTACACTAATATAACTACATATATATATAGTATAACTATATATATATGTAGTTATATTAGTGTAGTTTTTAAAAGATAAAATCCTCTAATATTTGAGAATTAATGTGGTTATAAATAATGTAAATAAATTATTTTATTGTGTACTAATTACCAAAAATCACAGTTCTATCTCTCCAGCTCAATGTATTTCAATTGGCCGCTATGAACTTCCTGGAACTATTTGAGGTCTACGTGAATCACGTGACGATCGAGGGTTTTGGACTTCGTTGACGCAACTCTCTCTTTCCATGGCTCTGGTTTTGAAAAGTCACACGCACACAAAAGACCAATGGCTTACTGTCATGCCTTTCAACCCAGAATTGTAGTTTTATAATTATCTGGAGCTCCATGTAACATTTAAAACCACCCACTGTATGAAAATGGTGGCGAAATAAAATGTATTATGAATTAATTTGAAAAACTTTAAATAAATCGCTAAGAAATAAATCAGTTTATATAAAACGCTGTTGCACGTAAAAAAAAAAAAATCACACACTTTTCTTTTGGGTTATCACACTCGGTTCAACTCGTTGACGCAACTCTCTCTTTCCATGGCTCTGGTTTTGAAAAGTCACACGCACACAAAAGACCAATGGCTTACTGTCATGCCTTTCAACCCAGAATTGTAGTTTTATAATTATCTGGAGCTCCATGTAACATTTAAAACCACCCAGTGTATGAAAATGGTGGCGAAATAAAATGTATTATGAATTAATTTGAAAAACTTTAAATAAATCGCTAAGAAATAAATCAGTTTATATAAAACGCTGTTGCACGTAAAAAAAAAAAAAATCACACACTTTTCTTTTGGTTTATCACACTCGGTTCAACCTTCACCGAGCACATGGGCAACCGTAAATTCAAAGTAAAAGTCCTTCCGTTGGTGAATAACTCGCGCTCTGCGTAAATACAGCGCACGGTTAATCAGTTTGAACTCTCCACTTGGCCTTGAGGACGATTGAGGATCTTTAAATTATGAGCAAAAAATAATCATAACAATACAAACAATAATAATTAATCATGAGCGCGTCCAACTCTTTCCATAAAGGTAAAT